CTTCTTCACAAGTTGAAAGGTGATAGTGTTTCTGGATAAATTTTCAATTTGATTCAATCTGCAATCTAATTGCAAAATGAAAGTTGTCTTGTATGGCCACTCTTCTTGATCTTTTTACATTAATGCTGGTGCCCTCCTGGGTTCTATCCGTGGATATATTTCCTTTCTAATTTTCATCAATAACATTCTCAATGTCATCAGACTTGGTATCTATGCACTGATGAGATAGCTATTTACTCCTGACTTAATGTTAAGTCTGGGAGGTTTGGTATGGTCAAATTGACATCTGATCTAAAAAAAAAAATGACCGTCAATCTTTTCTTAATTGGGCTGAGAAATGGCTTGTTAATTGTTGTGAGGAAAAATATTTACCTACAAGTTTGGATTCGGCCATTGGACGAAAGACATAAAAATACTCCTACATCAAGAGGAGTATCAGGAGGAGCAGTACTTTTTGCTGAAAACAGTTGGTCATTCATGGCTAAACATTCTCTTCCCTAGTTTCTATTCTACATTATGTTTCACTGTACCAAAAGGTAATAAAGTTGTTAAACCAATTATGGTTTTCTACTGTTGTTTTTGATAACTCACTTACAACATTAATTTTAATGCCTTTTAATGCTGCTCTCTTTTAATCATCTGAAAGAACCTTTTTCTTCCTTCCATCAGTATGGCTGATGCTAACCTCCAGAAGAATGACTCATTGTGTTTTCTTGGGCTAACATTTTTTCACTGTCATGAAGTGAAATGATTATATTAAATCAACCGAGAAGTCTGCTACTAGGAAATTTGGTTCACTTTATTGTTCTAGACAGTTTTTCTCCCCTGAAACTATCTTGCACCTTTATAATTCTACCATCCATCCATGCTTTGAATATTAATGTTACATCTGGTCTAGTGCTTCTGCTATGTATTTAGAGATTCTTGACAAAATCTGAAGAAGAATCTGTAATGTTACTGGTCTTGACCTGGAATCTCAGCTTCAGTCACTTTCTCCTTGCCATAACATAGATTCTCTGTGTTTTTTCTATAAATATTTTCAGGATAATTGTCCAGATGGGCTTCACTTTTTGGTGCCTCGACTTTATAAAATTTAAGCACAGTACTAGATTGGCAGTTAGGACTTTTTAACAGTTTAAATGGCTAGATGTAACTATAGGTTCTATGCTAGCAGTCTTTTCTTCCACACTTCTTGCTGGTGGAACTCTCTTCCAGATTCTTGCTTCATAGTCAACCTTCATCTTCAAAAATTTAAATGCAATATCAAGCATTATCTTCTGCCTCCTTAATTCTTGTCTTTTTAGTGGCTTATCTCCTTAAAAATGTTTTTTTTTCAAATTCCCAGTAAGTGGCTTTATTGCCTTGCATTGGGTGGAATTTTTATTATTATTATTATTATTATTATTATAAAAGGTGTTTTATTATGTAGCAGTGACTTACCTAGGCAACCCAAAAGGGCCAGAGTCGTATGTATGTTTTGCAAGGGAGTGTGGATACGGTGAATTGACAAGCTTCAGACGGATGGTGAATTGGACAGCACTTCATGATGATAGAGGTGGTGGTGTTGCTTGTAGCCATTTTTATTGGCAGGTTCTGGGCGCTCATTGGCTGAGCACTGGCTGGGTCAGATGCATAAAATCATGGTACCCTCATTTAACAGATGTTCAGATTTTCATTTGGGATGGGGGTGGCATATTATTATTATTATTATTATAAAGTGTGTTTCATTATGTAGCAGTGACTTACCACGGTGACCCAAAAGGGCCAGAGTCATGTGTATGTTTTGCAAGGGAGTGTGGAGACGGTGAATCGATGGGCTTCAGATGGACGGTGAATCGGACAGCACTTCATGATGATAGAGATGGTGGTGTCGCTTGTAGCCATTTTTATTGTCGGGTTCTGGGCACTCATTGGCTGAGTGTTGGCTGGGTCAGATGCATAAAAACATGGTACCCTCATTTAACAGGTGTTTGTTTTTTGGGGTTTTTTTCATTTGTGACGGTAAGTGATGTATTGGAAATTGACACGAGAAGTATGGATTTGTTTTGCCTAGTGAACCTATTGAACTCATAATACCTTTCTTTTCCTGCACGTGCTTTTGACCAATTTTTGCCACAAGCTATTTCGGCAATTGTTTTTTTTTCGTTAACTGTCATCTTCCCCACCTATCCCCATCAACTATTCCTCTTACACTGTAACCCTCTACCTTGAGTGGCTTTTGGGCCTTGTCCAGAATGGACATCACTTTAAAAAATAAAAGAAATAACTGTGAAAAGTATTTATTTGTTTATTATATGTAACTGGAATTTATTCAAGGAATATTTCATACATTCAATTCACTCTAATGATTACTTATTCCATAGTCTCTTGTTTTGAGGATAGAAACATTCTTATCCACAGATGAAAATATTAAGATTTTGGAAGTGTAAATTCATGAGTTCGATCTTTAGGCAGTTCACAGTACTTAATTCACAAGGGCAATGACTTTCTAGAAAGATGAGTATTGCCACAAATCAGGGTTTCTTAACCTGGGATCCATAGGCCCCCTAGAGAGTCCATGGATGGGTTTCCATTTGGATCAGATAAAATTAACATTTATGTTCACTATATAGCCTTTGTTCCAATCAATGGTTTCTGATTGAAGAAAATAAAAGAAAATGCACCCTGCCACTGCATGAAAAAAAAAAGACACCCAGTTCGTACTTACAGTGTCGACTGCTAGGTGTCTCTTGACTTGCTGTTGGGTCCATGTTTACCAGAGTCCCCTGGGTATGATGATAAACTGCATCTAGCAACAAGACCTCTTATCAGGAAATTGGAAGTTTTGAGGAGTGTGGAATCACCTCTTAATTGCTGTTGTTCCTAGGTCCACCCGGATCCAAGTGTGGTAGCATCTGTTAGGGTCCCAGCTATAGGAAAATAGTGAACCCTTAAACAAAAATAAGATATGGTAAAAATAACAGCAATACATTTTTATATAAAAAAATGACCAACAATATATTTTATCTGTAATTGAAACCATACAATTGCGTTCAAAATATATTTAGTTGAAGCCATAAAACTGTATTCAAAATATTTACATTTCAGTATTAAATAACCCATAGAGGTGTTGATATGCCACTAAACAAAATCAACCAACCATGTTTACCATTTAAACGTGTATCATCATTCTCAACACGACTGCCATCTTTTGCCACTCCACAGAAGCAAGTGATAATTCACATTTTCTATGATTTATCATGGCTTGATTATATTCTCATATACCAATGAGAATTAATTGACCACAATTTCTTTCAAGAGCAGCTGGCTGAAAAGTGATGCATGTTTAGTGTGCATGAAGGTGCATTATAGAGAAATGCATATACAAGTGTCTGTGAAAATCCAGTCAGACTGCAAGTATCTGCTTGTCTGTCTGTCTGTCTATGAAGGGCTAATTCTTATAGGGGTCTGTGACTCAAGGGCTCCATGACTAAAGGGTTCCGTGACTTCAAAAAGTTTAAGCATCATTGTTCTAAATAAAGGTCAAAGAAAAGAAAGGTTTGCAAGCATGACCTTCAAATAAAGGGAATGTATTCAATACCTAGGTCAAGAGATACCAATCCCAAGAATTCAACTGCACAGGAACCAGATGTGCAGGTGAAGTGGGGAAGTACATTCCTGCTCTGAGTACAATTCACCATTCCAGTTCACAGCTGATAATTTAGGAAGGCCAGAAGGTATGCAGACAAAATGATGTCATTAAAATATCAAAGATGAGGAAATTACTCCACTATATTAGGATGTAAGTATTCATGAATAGCTTAATGGTTATTTGCATGAAAAGCGGAACTGATATGTAGTGTTCAATTTCTGACTCAGTCTGCTTTATTCCTCACCATCGTCCATCGTATAACCAGGTAGGGCCATAAGGTTACAGTGCAGATGAACATTTGACCAGTTCCCTCTATGTGACTCACTTGCATGCCAATGTCTGCGAATGATCTTCTAGTCCACTCTGATGTTGTCAGCTCATTTTTTTTCTCTGTCTCTTCTTGCTGTGCCTAAAGTGGAACCTTGTAGGGCAACAGTGGAAATATTGTCAGCTCTTATAATCTGTCCATACATTTTCAACATTCCCTTCAGGACAGTGGATATAAGCCCTTCTTCCAAGAGGGCCTCATATCCACATCGTCACCTGAAGAAATACAATCATAGTATTGAAACATGAAAGCTTTTGTGTAGCAATTTCAAAATGTTTTTATTATAATCTCTTATAATAAAAATATAATAATAATATTTTGCTCTACTTTGTATTAAGAACTTTTTAAAAAATAAATAAATACTAAGAATTGTGGATTTTTGCTCCATTCTCTCATTTATATATATATATATATATATATATATATATATATATATATATATATATATATATAAGAAATGGACAAGGTCCGACAATTTATTTATTAAAGACATATTTTATATTTTAACGTTTGTTATTTTATAGATACAAGTATTTAAGCAAATGCTCTGTTTTATGATAAACAGTATTAAATAACATTTACCGGCCTGAATGTCCGAGAAATTGTCAAAGAACGAAAATTTTCTATGAAAATTTCTCGACATTCAGGCCGTAAATGTTATTTAATACTGTTTATCAAAAAGAGCATTTGGTTTAAATATTTGTATCTATAAAATAACAACGTTAAAAAACATAAAATATGTCTTTTAATATATATATATATATATATATACTTATATATTCTAGATATATATATACTATATATACATATATATACTTATATATTCTAAATATATATAATATATATACATATATTCTATATATATATATATATTCTATATATATATATATATATATATATATATATATATTCTAAATATATATATATATACTATATATACATATATTCTCTCTATCTCTCTCTCTATATATATATTGTTTAATATGTTATGTTCATGGGAGAAGAGTGATCAACATTGGAAATAGATCATTTACAGATAGTATGGAGGCAGGAATCAACACTGTTAATCTATCTATCTATCTATCTATCTATCTATCTCCATCACTACAATATCTATCTCCATCACTACAATATCTATCTATCTATCTCCATCACTACAATATCTATCTCCATCACTACAATATCTATCTATCTATCTATCTATCTATCTATCTATCTATCTATTTGAATGAATTTTTTTATCCAGCATTATTTCTTATTTCAATAAACATTATTTTTAGTTTGTAGACATGTTTGAGTTACTATTTCTTTTTTTTTAGTTATATGAAAAAGTGAAATTAATAACGACTTGTGTAGATTGAGTCCTACTAAAGATTATGCCTCCCAACAGGAATTGAACTTGTATCTCCTTTTTGATCAGGGAAACTGTTTCTATAGCCAAAATGTGCTTTTACCATCTGGGCCTTAGAGACCATATTCTTCAATAAAGTTTTGAATTACCAATTTAAGTAATGCTTAATTCCTCATTGGGATTTCTACAAATCTATATCAGCTTGCTTCATACACAAAATAACAACAGTCTAAATTTTTTAATGGATTTTTTTATCTGACTTTATTTCTTGATATAGTGCCAAATCATTAAAGAAATATGTAAACTGTCAGCTATATGCAACCGCTTTTTAAGATCAATGGTTAAAAATGGCTTTGAGTAAGTGAAATCTGTGAATTTTTAAGAAGACCACCCTTTTTCGAACATTGTAGACTGGCACTACAGAATCACAAGCAAAGAACTGTACCAAATAACAGAAATCACATCACTTGAGGACTTTCAACAGCAGCAACAATTAAAATGGATATCACATGTAGCTTAAAGACAAATAATGCCATAATGAAGATGCTGATATTCCACATGACTTCAAACAAAAGGTTAGGAAGGAAACCCACATCAATACTGGAAAGAGTGATAGCAGCTAATAGACTTGAGAAACCTGTTTTCCTGAAAAATTGTTTTAAGAGAAAGATTTTATAAATTTCAACTGACAGCAACACAGGCTGCTTGATCAATGAATGTTGAATGTTTCCTTATAAAGAATGTTTCCTTATAAAGAAACAGCTAATATTGCCCTTCCCATTACTATAGACATTATTTTTAGTGGGTATATGTATTTAAGTTGTTCTTCCTGCTTTTTATTTCCCTAAACTGTTATTATACATAACTATATATATATGTGCATAGATGTGTCTTTTTGTGTGATTAATATAGAAATATGTGCATCATTTTATATTTGAATTGAAATAAAATTTCAAATTTTACCATCCATTGTCTAAATTACTGAGCCTCACTCAGTTTTTTTTTTATCATGTTTGTTTCAATCATAAATAAATAAATTTGTCATATATCATAGTAATGAGAAAAACTAAGCACTTCTCCCTTGTGAGTCTCTCTTCTGGATTCTTGATTTCCAGTCAACTTTGATCTTCAAAAATTAAATGCATTGTATAGTGTTGCTTTTAGGACATGTGCTCAGTAGTCAACTTCCTGTTGGCTGACTTTTTACTCTATTCTGTCATTATCTGATAACCAACATAAACAAATATCTAAATTCCTGTTTGCCAGTCCCACTACAAAATGCAATGTCAATTGTTGACTTCT